AGGAGACATTACCAGGTGCCTGTGCATTTTGTGTTTGAACTGTAACTGCCCTTCAAGTGACTTCTTCAAAGTTCAGTTTGTACTGTTCAGCTTGAAAAAACCTGGTTTGCATACACCCAGTTCTTGTTTATTTTGTGCCCAAGTTCATCTCTGTTCCAGAGCAGTGATTTCATCCTGGTGTACATGGATTGCTTCACAGGGTCTGGTACTCCTGACCTTGTATCTTGTGTGAGAACTGGTCTCACTCTCGTTAGAGAACTTGTGGGACTGAAAGCTTTGTTGCTCTAAAAAGTGCTGGAGACAAATGGGTGCTGTGGCAGTTAGAGCTGTTAACCAGGTAGCTGAGCTGCAGCAAACTCTGCTGTATCCATAACTTCCCTATGAGTACTGGTGTTCCTTCCTCTAGCCTGGAGGATGTGTCTTGAGCATAGTGAACTTCCAAAATGCTTATATTTGATGTGGAGAGAAGCTTAAGGGGTGCGTGCAGGTATTGTAATACTGGGTGTAACTTTAGGTTATAAAGTGACACTTTCACTTGTGATAGAAACAATTGTCTGGTTTTGGGTGTTCTTCCTTATGTCTTGTTTTTAAGCCCTGTTGCTTCTGTGTTTCTCTTCCTAACAGAAGCTAAAAATGCAGAGTGGAGAGATGACAAAAGATGACAAACACAATTCTTCTGCTCAGTCCACTCCAAGCACCAGTCCCCACTCCTCTCCCAAGCATAAAAACAGGTACTCTGAGCCTGGCAGGCCACTGCCTTCTTTGGTTTCCTACAGGCTGCTGAGGTGGGAGCTGCTAAATAACCTTATCCAGAGAGGGACTGTATGGGCTAAAATTCAGAGCCTGATGAGGATATGTGTTGGATAGATCCAAATGTTGGAAGACTGGGGAACTCGAGCATGCATTAAATTGCCCCTGTTAACTGCATGGGAAGTTCCTGGTACAGTGAGGTCACTTGAAGTATTTATTCTCATGTTTTATACACCTCAATGATTTTTTTTCCTTAGGGCTTGGTTTAGTCAGGGATCCTCTTCTTCTATCGCTGGCTCAGACTTTGCCATGGAAGCTGGTGGGGACAAATTGCCATCTGAAAGGTGGAGCTTTTTTGGACCCAAAGCCATCCAGAAATCCACCACTGATCCAGGTATGTCCTCAAAAATCTGCTACCTTGGAAGAGCTAAAGAAGAACCATCACACAGCAAACTTGCTAGCTTTTTCTAGAGTCTTATCCTGCTTGCCTTGTTACTTTCTGGGACCACCTTGGGAATGTTTGCTATTCATATAATTTCTATGCCTAAATGTAAAGCAGTTGGGTAAAACCTGTGCTGAGGATCTGGAATTAGGAATAACTTGCACTGTGCTGCAGTGAAAGGGCAGGGTGTGAAGGTGACAGCATTTTACTTTTTCTCTGATGTGTGATGCAACCAGGACTGGAAGTGCCAACCACTGATGTGGAATAGGCTTTAGATGACATGGAGCTGCTGGAATTTTCCGGCTCCCTGTGGTGTGGGGTGTCAGTGCTGCTGCTGACTCCTGGCAGCAGTAGAAAAAGACTTGACTGGTTTTCCTGGCTCTTACTGTGATTATTTTTTTTTTTCACCAGGAGGATTTACTATTCAGTCCTATAAGGGTGCCCAGAAGCCATCCCCAATGGAGCTGATGCGTGCTCAGGCTACCAGGATGCCAGAGGATCCAGTCACCTTCAAGCCACCCAAAATGGACATTCCAGGCACAGATGGGAGGAAACAATCTCCACGTTCCCACAATATCAAACCTCGGGATCTGAATGTGCTCACTCCCACTGGGTTCTAGAGGAAATCATCTGATGTTTTTAGCAGGATACAGGGTGTCTTAGGCTCTGCTTCCCTGTCCCATGTGCTGCAGTAAAATAGGAAAGTCTCCCTTCCAGCTCTTCATCTCAGAAAAGGAAACAGTTGTGACTGTTCTCCTAAAGCCAGTCTTGGAAAAAACTCCTGCACTAGTCCTAAACCAATGTAAACCATCCTGTCTGCTGCACTGCACTGGTTTGGGCTATCAGGCTGCTCTGGATGTGCTTCCCAGTACACCACACCACAGTGAAACCCTGAGCCATGTTTTTGGGACAGTAGTCCATGTGGTGTGTGAGCACCTGGCTTGTCTGCCTGCAGTCTGGTTGTCTTGTCCTGCTCAGTGCTGAAGGACCCATGGGAAGGTGGTGGTTCTGTCTGGCATATACAGAGTTCCAGTAGGAAATCATGGAAACAAGCAAGGACTGAAAACTGGACCGTTAACTGCCAGAAGGAAGTTGGGGAATGTGATGGGTCAGTTTAAGTGTGGCATTCCCTTACTATCCACTGTGACCATGTAGTTCAACACCTATTTCTTCTTTGTTCTTGGTATGTTTTTTTAAAGGGAAAGTGGACCAATGACCATTCTAAGATGCTCTTATTGGAAAGGCAGGGAACAGTAGTGAGGAAGAAATCCTTCTCTTCCAACTCTTTGTTCCTCTAAAAAGGTGGAAATGACCAAAGCTGGTGTGGCTTGAATCAAGTAATCCTCCTCTCTTCTTTCTGCAAAACAACACTGTCCTGCCTTTTAGACAGCAGACTTCCAGCTGTTCTGGCAATCTGGGTGCAGCTTGATTTGGTTTTGATTCTGGTTTTCTTTTTCTTCCTAGAATCATGTAGAAGTGTATTAGACAGCAGGAGCACTTCTCAGATAGAGTATTTTATCAGCATTAATGTGTTCTGCAGGGCTGAGGGAGGACTGAGGGCAGATTAAGGCTAAACGTTCCTCCCTGTTATGGTACAGCTGGATGTAATTCTTGGTCTGGGCAGAGCCAGTTACTGGGAACAGCTAATAACACTTGCTTTCATGGAAAGTGGAAGGAGCTCCTGGTTACCATCTAATCCCTTAAGCATGATAGGCAGCATTGCTCTGTAATCCTCACCTGTCTTGTGGCAAATGGGTCACCTCAGGTCTCCTCTTGATCTCACGATTGTGTTGCAGAGTCCCTTAGCCAGCAGCAGCCTTGCATCTGGAACTGGAAGCATGTCTGTTGCCAGGACATTACACAGAGGTTTCTCAACAGCTGGTAACTGTTGAGCTCTGGGGTTTTTGCCTTCTTGAACCAAACATTCCTCCCAGAGAGTGAGGCAGGGCTGGCTGCTGGCCCTTCTGAAGAAGCACATTTTGTGGCACTGCTTTCTCTCAAGCTTCAGCAGCACTGCCAATGATGTGTTGTGTGAAAGTCCCCAACCTAACCCAGCAGTTCTCACGGTCACCACTCATTTGCACCTTGGCAATCAAGCTCTCATTTGACATTAATTTATTTGTTATCTGTATTCATGCCTCCTAATGTGTATGTTTGTTTTGTTTGTTACAGGAAAATAAAATCCTTGTGAATGGAGGTCCGTGATGTGTGTTGGTGCTGGCAGAGCATCTGTGGGAGAAATGTGGGGTCAAGGTTCTGCCAAATAAGGCTCTGACAGCACCTCACTAGGGTAAATGTTTGCTCACAAACTCCCCTTTGACAGGGAGATCAGGTTTAAAGCCATACTCAGTTCTGTCCTAGGGCAGGGGAAACTGAACATGAAGTCTTTGTGTTTTCTTGGGCTATTCAGATTCTTCTTGTTCCTGAGATTGTCTCTTGTTGCCTGTGTGCTGTGTTTGCACCTATACCGTGGAGGTGTATTTCCCTAGAGATGCCCAGCTCCCAGTGTGTCCATCCCTGCTTTGCCTTCCTCCGGAAGGCTGAGGATTGGGTGCTGTTGTAGCATTTGTAGCTGCCCTTCAAAGCACTGCTGATTGCTCTCCTGGGCTGGGGATGTCTGAGCTGAACACTGGTGTTCCCTGTGCTCCCGGGGTGTTGGCAGAGTAATGGAATAGATCCTGGAGCACCCAGGTGCTGAGGTAGAGTCTGCTGCTGTGGTCCTGGTTACACAGGCCAATCTCAGTTAGTTTGGGAAGGCTGGGGTTAAAGCATGGCCTTGTGGTGTGATACTTACTCTACTCCATCATTCTTAGGGATGCCACCATCATAAATATAAAATAACATCCATAGCTATGGACTTGCTGGAATGCAGTTTCTTTTCTAGTCTAGTGACAAAAGTCTAATCCAGTTAAAAGGACCTAATTGAAAAATACACCTGAATGAGCATATGTGCAGGAAGAGCAGCTTTCCAGAGCATGGAGCACTTGGGTTTGCACTGTTGGCAGTCTTCACTTTTCCCTGAATGGCTTACCTCTGGATTAGGGGTGCAGTGTCATGTGAATAAGTGGTTTGTTTTACACCTGGCAGTTGGCAAGAGGCTTCTTAAAGAACAAGAAGCAAACTTGTGAACCCCGGGTCAGACCCTTGCAAACAGTTCTGCACTAACTGAAGCCAGGCTTCTGCATGAGACCACTGATATCAGGACTCGTGTGTTCCCAGCTGTGACTACTTCTTGATGCTCCTACTCTGGTCTCTGCATTAGGACCTTGCCAAGTGTGGTAGGCAGCTCCCACTCCCAACCTCTGTTGCTTCTGAACTGAGATCTATAGAAACACCTAATTGTTCTCTGACCTCACCTGTGGTTTTTGTTGATGGCTGTGGATTTGAATTCAATTGAATTCAATATTCATCCTGATCATAATGCCCATGCCTGCACTAGAGTGGTTCTGGAGGGAGCAGTTTTTTCAGCTCATGCTGCCATCCAGCCCACCCTCTTCCTAATCACTTTTGGTCAAGTTATACAGATTGATTTGCACTGGAGCAGAAATGTTCCTCTACTGAGAACTGACTACCATGTCTTTGGGATCTCTGCACTATGAATGTCCTCACTGCCCCTCACACCTGTTGAGATTTTTAAAGATTATCATCTTTCCCCTAATAATTGACCAGATATTTGGGAATTTTGCTTGCTGCGCAAACTACTGTCAGAGTTTATGGCTGCATTAGTCTAATGCTATCCCAAGGTATGACTGATGGAGGTCTGCACTTCCTTTAGGCAGGGCTGGCACCAAGATGAAAGAGTCTCAGCAAATATAAAAATAATTTATTTTTTTAAAGTGTACAACGTGCCTGATAAACGATGCAAATTTGAACAGAAATTCTGAGACCATGTAAACCAACTATTTTTCTAAAGAACTGTATAAACCAACCCCCATGACATTGAGACTGCAGCATGAGATGGGGGTTTTGAGTTTTTTTTTTTTTTTTTGGAAACTTGAAATTCTTTGTCCCCCTTGCTGCAGTGGTTGTCTCCATCAGGCAGTAGTGACAATAGAGAACAACTCTTGCAGCAGGAACAATTTCTCCTGGATTTGTGGAGGAAAAGGCTGCCCTAGGACCCCCTGCATTCGCCTGATGAAGTCCTCAGTCTTCACCTGAACGTCCAGGCTGGTGATACTGTCACTCTCCTGGAGCCTGGGCTTGGCTTTCTGAACCATCAAGTCCATCCGGTCACTGAGGGAGCTCCGCAGGTGCTCTGCAGGAGGAAATGCTGGTGGAGAGAGGCAGCACACACCAGAGCACAGCATGCCAGAGGCAGCACTGTGCCGGAGTGAGAAGCAGTTGGGAATGGGGCTCATCCTCTTGCGGTTATCCCTGATGCTTCTGCACAAGACTGAGGGAAGAAGGAACTGGCCCCTCCTGGAGCTCAGTCTGCATGTGGAGAGAGCCCAAGAAATGGGGAAGGGGCAAGGCTTGTAGAATCCTTTTCTCCTGTGCGAGTGCCAGAATGGGCAGCTGCAAAGGAGTCTCCAAAGAGCTCAACAACAGTAATATTGTCTAGGGCTTCAGGGAGAGTAAGACTGCACATGTGATGGTGGATTCCTCTGCATTATTTCATGAGAGCCTTAACCCTGGGCTAAAGAAGCTGAAGTTGGGAAGGGACTTGAAGAATTTTCTGGTAAAATTACTTTGGGGAGTTTTAGGGAGTGTTTTGTGACTCTGCCGTTCTCCTGGGATCAGAAATGCTGTTCTTTCCATGACTACTGTGGGTCGTGCTCCCTGCCCAGTTTACTAAGTGCTGAAAGTGTCCTGGGTTTACCAAAGAGAGCATCCAAAGGAGGCTGTGAGGATGGTGAAGGGCTTATAGGGGAAGCCACACAAGGAGTGACTGAGGGCACTTGGCTTGTTCAGCCCGGAGAAGGGAAGATTTAAGGGAGACCTCATTGCAGTCTACAACTTCCTCGTGAAGGGAAGAGGAGGGGCAGGTACTGATCTGTGCTCTCTCTGACCAGTGACAGGACCTGTGGGAATGGCTGGAGCTGTGTCAGGAAGGTTAGGTTGGCTATTAGGAAAAGATTCTCCTGAAGAGTGGTCAGGCACTGGAACGGGCTCCCCAGGGTAGTGGTCAGGGCCCCAGGGCTGACAGAGCTCAAGGAATGTTTGGACAATGCTCTCAGGCACATGGTGGGATTATTGGGGGGGTCCTGTGCAGGGCCAGGAGGTTGGACTCAATGGTCCTTGTGGGTCCCTTCCAACTCAGGATATTCTACAATCCCTTTGCTTTCTGCTTTTTCTCCCAAACCACCCTATTCTTCCACCTGCTGTGTAGCAACTTAGACAACAGTGGGTACAAAGCACCCCCTTGTGTGCTTTCTGGTGCTGGGAAGTGCTTCCTTCCTTTAGGAATAAGGCTATTTTGTAGGGGCTAAACTTGGCAAAGTAAGTTGGGTGCTCTGATTGATGCAACATCACTTCTTTGACTGCTGGGAATAGTTACTAGCATGGACAGAGGCACACTGTCTTTCAAAGACTCAGTGGCTGTGAGCTCAAGAGTGATAAGAAGGGAGGAGGAGGGGAATTTGGCAGTTCTACTGCAGCCTCTTGATGAGGCCAGAACAAGCTGCTTACCCTGTATTACACTTCGGTAACTCATCAGCAGCAAACTCAAGTACTGCAGCATCTCATCCCACCTTTGCCAGGTTGCTGTTTCATCCTATGACAGGAGACAGTATTTGATTATTAGAAGTTTTCTCAGAAGAAAACAAGGCAAAAGAGAAGTTCGACTGGATACCTCAAAATGCAGCAGCACAGAGAAGTGGCTCAGGAAATACAGGATTTTCTCCAGAGACATAGATGAGGTTGAGGGCACATCAGAACTGTGCTGGAACAACAGCTCTAGCAGTCTGCAGCGCAGGAGCTGGCTCTCCATGGTGTTTAATAAAGCTTCCCTGGAAGACAAAAGGGATTTACTTTGGGAGAGACAGCACAGCTTGACCAGAGACAACTGCTCCAGCATGTTCCTGGTGTGCTGCTGGTGCTGACCCAGTGGGGTGACTGCAGGGGCTGCTCAGCTGTGCCTTGGAAGGAAGACCACCAGATGTGGTGAGAAACCTTTGTTATGTGACTTGGCCATGGCTGTGTTTTCGTCCTCAGGTGTGACCTGTGGCAGCTGGAGGTCAGTACAGTCTGTGATGCAAACTGAGCTGCTTCACTTCACCCTGCCCAGCAGCCTGTGTGGCAGTGATCCATTCCTGCTGACTTGCAGGGAGCACAGCCAAGGAAGGGTGATGTGGGGTCAGGGCCAGCCGGATCTACATCTGTCCTGGGCCAAGTGACAGCTTGGTTAGACTCGGTTTGGCTTGATTAGACCTGGTATGTGCACAGAGTTCTGCTGAAGGGGTGTGAAGGGCTGCCTGCTGGGCATTGCAAGAGTGGGTTTGAAATGCCTGTGGATCCAGTGGTCTTGTGTTTACACCAGAACCAGTCAGGCCCTTGTGCTTTGGCTTCAGATACTGCATTTCTTAGAGAAGCAAACAAAAGGATGTCAAGGCAAAGCTGTAGGAACTGCATCATATTTCTGACAAGCTACCTGGTTGCCCAGGAGAATGAGTGACGTGTTTGCCAGTACTTGACTGTGCTGATGCACAGTAGTGCTTTTCAGACCTTCTTTACATTTTTAAGGTCACACAGCTTTAATACGTGAGAAAATTGACTGTTTTCAGCAACACACCACCGGGGTAGATGTGTTCAGCTAGTGATATTGTATCTCCATGGGAGATATAGCCATGCTCTCGCTGGCTGGCCTGTCTTTCTCTACCCTGTAGTACTTTGTGCATCTGGACTCATGTAAATTGGGAATAAGACCATTGCTCACACAGGCAAATGCTGCCTTGCATGTGCTTGTCTCACCTTTGGCTCCTCAGGGGGATATTCAGTAAAAATGGGAATATCTCGTCTTTATGGGAGCTGCAGGTGGGAGATCTGTCCACTTCCACTGCGATGGACAACATCCGCTGGAGCAGGAGCATCACCCTGTGTCAGAGAGACAGCACTTGAAGAAGCTGCTCCTTGGCTTGCCAAGTAAAGCATTGGGGATGGCCCCTAGTTCAGCCTCGTGCTGTGCAGTGAGGGACACGGGAATGCAGTGGGCTAGATTTGGTGTCTCTTGGTGGCTTTCGAGTCTGATGCTCTTGCAAGCAG